CCTTGATAAATAAACACTAATTTCCTACTCAACAAGAAGGTTGAAGAAATCTCTCAAGTTATCAAGCTAAAATCTTTGTATTTTATTGATTTGATATTTGAATTTTGGATACAATTCTTTAGACCTATTTGCAGTTGAAGGCTAAATGAAATATAAGGAAAAAAAATCTTTTAACTAATTACAATTGTTTTTCTAAAAAAATAAGAATTACTAAGAAAATAATACTAATTAATATAGATATAGTTGTATATCTTGAATTAAAGAAAATTTTTTTCAATATTATTGAGATGTTGCTGTCCATAGAAAGATTTTTGAATTAAATATGATATGAACTTAAAATATGAGAATTTTTTTTTGAAAATCTCTTAATTTAAAGAAGATTTTTTAAAGATTTCTTAATTTAAAAAAAATCTCTTGATTCTTTAGGAAAGTAAATCCGTTCATGATCTTCATTGATTTTTTTTCTCATATGTGAATATACTCTTTTAGGAAAATATGTCCTTTTATCTTGAAAACTTAGCAAGATATAATTTTGATTATCTCTTGATAGATTTTCAAAATTCCGTGATCTTGGTTTCTTTTTTGCCATTTGAGAAAGCTATGTAGAGAAAAATGAAACTTTCATTCTTAAGGGAAAAATTGATCTTGAGTGAGGAAAAGTCTCTCATGCCGAGGGAGAGATTTCCCATGAACTTTTAACTTCTTTTAAGGATTGCTTCCTTTCTTGACTTGGTGGACTCTACTTCCCATTTCCAAGGCCTTCAAAGTTTGGTATAATACTTTTTCTCTCATGGATCCATTCTTTAATATGAATAAGAAAGTCTTCCTTAAGTTTCTTGGCCCATTTTTCATGATGATACTTTTTCCATGTGTTTCAAGTCCATCATATTATGTGTCCAAACTTTGCTTTCCTCCGCGTGGGCATTGTTTATGGCCCAAACCACTTTGATCTTCAACAAAACAGCCTAAGCTGTAACTTACCTAAGATTGATTGGTTTCTCAGATACTCCAAGCCGTTCATGCTAACATCATTATGTGGCCTAAAACTTTATTGATGGAGCTCAGAGTTGAATTTTTTTAGGGTGAGTTAAATATTTTGAATATATAATAATAATGGTTAGAACTTCAAAAACTAAAAACATTGAATGACTAATACTAAGTGATGAATGAGGTTAAAAGGATGAGTCGTATTTAATCAATGACCCATTAAGAGAAGAGATTTGGATTAAAATCTAATTTTGTTCATTTTGGATTAAAATTTGATAATTTTATTTGTGAATTCAACTTCTAATTTTTTAATACTATTTTTTTATTAGTTCTGTTTTAGAAAACTGGATCGAAATTACAAGAATTTTCAATATTCTTATTTTTGAACTAAAAACCGGACAAAAACAATATCCAGTCTCAAAGCAGACTGGAATAAAAACACTTCTATTTTGAAGAAAATAAAGGATTAAATATATTGAATTTTAATATTAATATAATATTGTCATCTTTCTATATATAAACAACAGTTCAATGTTGTTGAGCATTACTTTCTTCTTTAAAAAAAAAAATAATAATAATAATAATAAAAATTTAAACCCAAAACTATGGCCATGAAGTCCTTAGATATTACACGAACTTCCAACTCCAATCTATTATCGAATTAATTTAAATTAGTCTCAAACTTCTAATCTTAATGAAACACTGAATTTGTGCAAGAACCACACAAGCTTAAATATCATAGAAAGTTATTTACGTTTCGGCCCAAGATGTTTTTTCTTCTGCTTTTCCTTGATAGCACCAAAAATGAAAATACAGCAGTTTTGGTGATTTCCTCTTTGTGGGATCGTGAAGAAAGTTAAAAACAATGATCTTAGACCAGCCAATAAATTATATATGTATTAACGACTAGGTGCTGATTCAAGATTCTAGGTTAGATTTTCTAAAAGAAATATCCTCTTTTCTATAGTAAATGATTACCTCCAATAAAAAAGTACATTTTTGGATGAAAAATCAAAAGAATATTTTTGGATTCCCCGGATTATGTAACATCAGATCTATTTCTTTTTGTCAATTTGTGTAGCTGTCTAGAAATACAAATCCAGAAAGTCTCGGGAAACTTGTGGCTAAAATGCATGTGCAAGGCAGAAATTATGTCTAAAGTAAATCTATGAACCTCAGGCTTCAATGCCATGCGAATAAACATTGCTGTCCACATCTCAGGACCCAACTTCATCGCTTGACATAGGTACTGGAACCCTTTGATTACCCTTTCTGATGTTCGTTCCTGCCAAAATGAAAGGACAATAAGCACCAGTAATTATCAGAATCTTTTCATTTTGGCTTTGTTTTTCTCCTGTTCTTGTCATGTTCCTATTTGTGATTAGATTTTACAGTCATGAATGAAAATATTAGGATTCTATAGTATCAAATAAATATCGGACAACTTGATGCTAGTTTAGGAGGTGTTTTGGCCTTTCCACAGGAGACGTTCAATGCAATCTATCATTGCTTACTTAGACAACCATTAACCAGACATTGACTAACTAATAGGATAGTTAATTAGCCAGTATATGTTTCTTTTAGTGGCTTCAACTAATGCATATAAACCATAGAATATTAGTTGGTAAGATAGAATGAGAGAAACCTGTGAGTTCAATGTCTCCTTTGCATCAACTTCCTCAGTTAAAGAGCAACCAAAGACTTCATCCTGTAGAAAAATATCAGTTGCTCTAATTATATCCCGAAGGAGGAAAACCTGTACTCTCTGACCCTTTTCAGAAAGAATGAATAATAAAAGATCCTCTGTGGCAGAAACAACAGTGCGCACATCAAATGATTTCCATCCTCCAACTTTTGAAGAACAATCAGCATCAGGTAGCTCTCCAGATGATTCAGAAGCCTGCTCAGATATTGCTGCTACCTGCAGAAGATAAGAAGTACGGTCTGATTATGATTTGCAGAAGGACCTGAAGATTTGTTCAAATTTTTAGATAACCATCAGGAATGACTATTGAAAGGGTAGAAGTACATAAGATTCAAAAATCACACAGGAGATATGGCAGGGAGGCTTCCAGAAACTTTCTCAACATACTAGGCTAGGATAAAAACAATCGTAGCACCAACAAATCAATATTGAAATTCAAGAACAAAAAAGAAGAAAATGGTAACACACCGAGACATTGCAAACTACTTGATTTCTGTTATAATTGGAGATAACCATGTACATTTAAAACTTCTTTGAATGAAATGAAAAAGACCTACTAAAACTGCATCAGATACTCATGCATTCACTCAAGTTGAAGACCTATCAACGGGGGCAAAAGAAGGGGCTTCATTTGTTTAATTTGCCTGAGCTTCTCCAACGGACTTCTGGTTTAATTACTTAGTCAAACAAACACTAACTTCGCCACTAAATCTAACCAACAATTATACTATTTTACCCAAGCAAATTTCCTAAGAGTCCTTGATATTGGAGATAATGACAAATAAATTTATTATAATTTTTTAAAATAAAAACTTACTCCTTTCATCTCACTGTAGGAGAATGTCAAAAAAAAAAATTCTTAATTACCTATTTACACAATAGGTTCTTGTGCGCACATGTTATTCATATTATACTCATTTTTCTTGTTTCTTACCATCGGAACTGAAATCTTAATCCACTTTTGTCATTTTTTTAGATAAAATGAATTGTTATGTAATAGTACCTACTATTGCAAGTAATGCTATAAAAAACAGGTCATAGCTATAATAAACATCACAGCTATTGTTATGTAATAATACCTACTATTATAAGTAATGCTATAAAGCACGTTATAGCTATTAATAGCAAAAGACTGTCTAAATTCAGTAAAAATTGGTATCCAAATTATACATACAATAAATTTATAATTAACATGTTTAAAACAAAAATAGATAAATTGCGAATAAACAGTAAGTAAATATAAGTAATATTTTTATCAAAAAAATTTAAGTGTTCTCCAAAGATAGCACAAATTTTAACAAGAAAAAGAACTAGTGTACAAGACAAAACAGCACCCAGAGAGACTTACAAGGCGCTCTAGCCGACTCCACCTTATGGATCCATTATTGTGGATGAGAAGCTCCCTCAAAATTTTTCTCATATCAGGGCTCGGGTCTGCTAAGAGCCTTCCAACAACAAATGGATATGCACTTTCAACTACCTTGAAATCAGGATCTAGAACTTTGGCTGTGCCTTCCAATGAACCAAGTGCCCTTATGACCAGGGCATAATCAGGGGGCAGAGACAAGTTAAATCTATACATAACATCATATAATTGGTTCATGATTCCCTGAAATTCAAAATAGTTGTGCTCAAGCTTCCATAATTTAAGAAAAAGAACTGTTATACAAAGGAAATTTTAAAACAGAAGACACACCTGAAAATGGTAGGGCAATTAGACCTAACTACATAGATTTCAATCCAGTTCGACTCAATAGTTGAATGAATTAATAGTTCAAAGTAGATCACTATATGACAAAATGAATAACTACTAATAAATTTTCACTTGAATTATCAACTTATTTCATGCATAAACCTAACCAATCTGAATTTTGCCATGTCTATGGAGAAGTAACATTCGCCACAAATCTCTCTCAAAATGTTTTTATGTTGAGAAAATCTCAATATGGTAGATTTCTAAAAAAAAGGCCAAGTTACCCCTAAGCATAAAGCAGGGATCAAAGTTTTTGCAGTCCCATTCTACAATGGCATGCTCAAAACTTCATTACAGATCAACCATTGTTGAGTAAAACAAAAAACTCAGGCTTTCTATCTTGATCTGGAAAGAGCCAAGTTTATTATGCATTGTAGATAACAGAAGTAGACAGTTTTGACAAGCTCAAATGCCTACTAGGATTTTGGTTTTAGAAAAAGGAAACCAACAGAACTATGCTAACTATGAGGCTGGCAAACAATTTTCACTGAAACGAGATCACAAGCACAAACCTGGAAATCTTGAGATTGTCTGCTCCTATCACCAAAGGATGCTTGCAGTGCATCTGAAACTGATTGTATATCAGCCCCTTCAGGAATAAATCCCAAAGAAAGAAAGTCATTTGCCAAACCCAGAGAATCACGATTAACAAAGTGCACTAGCTGAAAGAAACAAGAATTTATTAACATATACACAACGGAAGGTCAAAACAAAGCAACAGTAAGCACCATGTCGTCTGCCAAAAAGTGTAATAACTAAGCATGTTGAGAGTCGGCCAAAGATTTTTCAAATGGAAAACTAGAAAAAGTATATACTGACTTGAACATTATAATCACACATAGACATATTATATGGGCATAAGGGGATTGTTTAAAAAAACTCTCAGTAAAGGGGATTGACACGCAGACATGCAAGAACAAGAATTCCGTCTTCTGGTGTTAAGAGTCTCAACACCATCTCACAACCAATCTTCACTAAACAAAAAGGGTCAGCAATAGTCAAAACAAAAAGCGATCACCCTGCAAACTGGTGTTTTCTTTGACTTGCATAATGCATTTTATCCAAGACAAAAATGGCACCTTCGGTCGTAAATTAAATGTTAAGCATCAAGAGTACTCGCATGTGCATAGCAAGTTTCATCTAGTTTTAGTGCAACTACAAATTCATCTTGATTTCCTTTCTCTCTCTCTCTTCCCCCTTTCCCCAATCCATACTATGATTGGGTCATCTTTTGACTTTGAATGTTATTGTCTATAGGTAACTGCACCGTGGTCAATTGATTGCTGGGGCAGTGACAAGCTTTATAGAATAAGGTTATCAACAGATGGTTGGTGAGGCATATTTTAAATACAAAATAGAATGAAAAAGAAGTCAGTTTTAGAAGCATAAAAGCATAAACAGCATGCCACCTAAGATTGATAAAATTGCATGATATTAATTGATATCACAAAATATGCAGAAGCCAACTTGAGTCGAACTCTAAAAAAAGATGAAGTTGGATTAAATTCATACAACTCCTACCATTTGAATAAGTCCAACGCGATAATGACGAGGAATGTCTCCCATCATTCCAAAGTCAAAATAAGCAAGACAACCACGGCAAGTAGCAACAAGATTTCCTGGATGCGGGTCTGCATGGAAAAATCCCACCTCCAGCAGCTGTCTCAAAGAGCAGTATAAACCCTATGAAGAACATGAATGAGAATTATGAGCTTAGGATAGGTTAGACAAATTTCACCAAATCAATGAGGAACTTGCAACCAACTGGTGTAGAGGAAGTCTGCCTATTACCTGATCAATCAATTTCCTTTGGTCCAAAGAAGCCTTCTTCAGGCCCATTTCATCAGTGAGTTTGATTCCATCAACCCACTCCATTGTAAGCACAGTTTCACATGTAAGATTCCAATATATTTTTGGCACCTTAATGATGTTTGCTCTCTGATATTTGAGGTTAGGACCAGCTGCAGCTTGTTGATTATCTGTTTGATCAGTAGCTGTCAACAAAAGGGAACTTTCATTGATTTATGCTTGAAGCACAAGCACATAGATCCTTACAGAGAGACTGAGGAAAGAAAAGATAATACAGGTTTTTTAAATGCCAATACATACTTGAAGAATTTCACCGTTTTAACGAAAATCATGGGAAGAAAAAGGATCCTTAAATGCTACCCTAATAAGTAGGTATTATGCAATTCATCATTTGACATGATTTGTAGGGACATATGTTTGGCATATCCAGACTAGACATTAAAGTTCCAGTATTATAATAAAGAAGAAGGCTCCTCGACTTAGATTAACCAGCATCACCCGGGATTGGTATATGATGTTTACTACAAAATATATCAATGAACTGACGAAGTAAAAGTACAGTAACTACAAATTTGGATAACTTACCATACAGAGAAGCAAATCGCTCAGCATTTTTTGCCTCTAAGATGTAATCAATTTCATCAAACATGTGCCTTACCTTTTCATCAAGAAAGATAAAAAGATGTTCATAAGCATGTATAATCTCACAGAAAGAAGATTAGATTGAAGAGAAAAACTAAATCAAAATAAAAGTAAAGGACATGGTTGCACTATATAACAATGATGGTAAAATGAAACTCATAAAGAATGTTTCTATGAGCATAACACCAATAATTTCCATACTCTGTAACACATTCCAAAAAATAAATGCATACGCTTTGAGAACCATCCACAAGATTATACTGACAGATTATATTTTTGAAGCATGTCCAAATTTCTAATTTTCTTCAAAAAGAAACAAATAGAAAATAGTAATTGAGATTAGTAATAGCATTGACAGGAACCTTGAGGCAGAAACCTCACCATCTCATTTACAGCTACCAAGAGGTCCTTATGGGCATTGGCAAATCGCTTCAATTGGCCGCTGATCATATGGAATAACATGGCATCAAGAGTCAACGTAAGCGACATACCTGGCCTCTGGACTTTAACAGCTACAAGCTCCCCAGAATGCAAATGAGCTGCAGGACTTGAAGGAACAAAAAGTAACATTTAGCTTGAGTTTTCCAATCCGGTGATCCTCTACCCACCTGGTGACTGGAAGCAAATAAAAGGGTGAAGAGATATACAGGGGACGATTCTCTAACCTTTATACACTTGGCCTAAAGACGCTGCTGCAGTTGGCTCTGGGCTGATGTCAGCAAAAATTTGTGAGACTGGAATACCCAACTGGCTTTCAATAGAATCTATTGCAACAGAAGTTGGAAATGGTGGCATTTGATCCTACAATTAACAGAAGTGTTTGACCATAAGAATGAAAAAGAAGGGAATTACTGTTTAAGACAACTCTGATAAAGGTTAGGAAACTTTTGACAGAATAATCTAACAAAACCTGTAACTTTGCAAGCTCCTGACAATATACAGTCGGCAATATATCTGGTCTAGTGCTCAGGGCCTGTCCAAGCTGCAAATCAATAAATGTTAAGTCAAAAGGACATGTGAACTTAAAAGAATTTTCAGGAGAAATTAAGGGAAAAAAAGAATACGGGATGAATTTAGTAATTTCTGGGAGATTTAAATTAATTGATTTTGTGAGAATTTTAGGTGAAAAATTGAGTAAAAATACATTTTGGAATTAAATGTGTGAACTTGGGACATTTTTGGAAATTAAGAAAATCTAGTAATAACCTTGAAAATAACTTAAAATATTAATTTTGCACTAAATTGAAAACAAATTTGGAATTTCAGGCCTTTCTGTAATTAAGCAGGGGTCCAAATGAAAAGATTTTAGGCGCCTAGGGGTCACTCTGCAAATTTGAAGAAACATGCCACATAGACTGCTGATTCAGCAGCACAACCAATCAAATTGTGCCGCGTTGCAACCGCGTTAGTAGAGTTCAGTGCAGAGTCAACACACTGGAGGCATGCGTGTATGATGATCAAGCGGTCTGTGTTTCGGATGCCGATCCATCAGTGAAAGTGCAGATGCCGATCCAACGGCTCCTAGACACGGGAAAATGATGGTGATCATAAGGCTGACAGGTGAGATGCCGATCAAACGGATGATGCGCATGATGCCGATCGAACAGCTGATGTGCGTTAATCACACGGTCTGCTTGTGATCCAGGGATCAACGGCCACTATCAATGTAACACTCCAAAAACCTTCTTGCTTAATTTGTATCGTAAACCCCTATTTATTCAAGCTCTAAAGGTATTTAAACTCCTTAAAATTCTGTGCTTTAATTTTTGGATAAAATTTAATATTTGAATTTCGTATTTATTTAGTTTAAATAATTATTCAAATTTATTTTTATTGGTTAATTGTTAAAAATTTATTTTTGAAATCTTCTTAAAAAGGTTTTTAGGGAAAACGGAGGAGAAAATGGCAGAAAAATCTCGCGGGAAAGACCCCGCACGCGTGGGCCCCGCACACCGCACGAGCGCACAGCAGGCTGGGGCAGCGAGCGCCGCCCTCTTGGACGTCGTGGCCGCCGGTTGGGCAGAGTGCCGCCATCGTTTGGGTGGCGTGCTTCCGATTCTCGTATCACCGTTACGTTGCCATCATTACATTGTCCACCCGCCAGTCACATCCGTCAGTCATCATGTCGCATCAAATCATTTTGACTTCCTCTCTTTTCATAAAATTTTGCCACTTGGCACAAATCTAACGGTTCCCATTTTATACAAATAAGGACCTTCTCTTCACCATTTCTTCACCACTCCCACTTTATTCTTCCATCCACCAAAGAGTTTTAGAGAGAGAGAGAGAGAGAGAAAGAGTGACCTAGAGAGAGAAGAAGAAGAAATAGAGGGAAGAAAGACACAGGAAAACTCCAAGATTTCGAATAAAAAATTTAGTATTTACTTTTAACATACTAAAGAGTATTTTTAGATCAAATTAACAAAGTTTTAATTAAATGGTTGCATGTTTAATTTTATATACTTAAATAGAATTATTACATGTTAATGCATGTTTATATGAATGCATATAAATCGATTATTTGCATGATTAACTAAATGCTTAATTTACATATGATAAATGTTTATGCATGATATATTGAACGATGATATAGTAACAAACATGATGTTGTACTTTAAGCATGAGAAAATGTATCAGTATTGGCATGCATGATTCATGAAATATTTTTATTAGCCTTTTTATCTCTATGGGTTTTTTTTTTTTCTCCCCCATCTAGTCTGAAAAGACATGAGAGGACCGCTTCTTATGGATAACAGTGTACCTTTTAACGAGAGTGATGACGCAATATGATTGTAGGGGTCACCTTTGGCGAAGTATGGTCGTGACCATAGTTTACATGTAGGACCATTGTGGTTGGCATGGCCATAGTCATAGATTATGTCATAATTTGACAATCTGTAAATGTGTTGTTAATTTGGCAAACTGTAAATGTGTTGTTGGTTTAACAAACCGCAAATTGTTGATATAAAATGAATTGGTTATTCCATATGAGTAGTCGAAAATCCGTATTACCCTCAATAGATGAAAGTCAGAACAATACGCGAAAAATAAAATGAAATATAGAGCATGTCATGACTTGTTTGATTTTCTTTTTTTTCAGCATGATTGATCTGATTGACATAATATGACTATGATATGACGGATTTGATATTTTTTTTAATAAAGTAAATTATTTTCATAATTTATAAAGGGACTCCTGACATAACTCCTGATGGTAAGTAATGATGGTACTTTATTTTAGTTTTTAATTACCTTTAAAATTTTAGTAATGTTATTTAAATATTGTTTTCCTTACTGAACATATGAAACTTATCTTTTTTCATGCCCCCTCAAGATGAGGAAAATAGTGAAAAATCGATCGTTAATCTACTCCTTGAAGCCTTTGAGGATCCCGTAGATTCGTGAACCGTTATGAGTACATAGTAGTCTTACACCCTGATAAGTCCATCTTTCATAGAGATTTGTAATTAATTTTGTTTTTACCTCAATGTTGTATGAAACTCTATTATTATTTTGTAAGGAATTGTAATTATTTATTCCATTGTATACATTTATCTTATATGCACTCGTATCTATCTCTATATCTAACACCCTTATATTTTAATTAACATTTGGGATGTCATAATCTATCTTAAACGATCCAACCGTCGGGAAAACCGATGACCTAGATAAGCAGAAGATTTGAATTCAACGGTGGGGATTAGCTCATCAAGCAAAAAAAAACCGGATTGCCTTAATGAAAGGCAATCGGATGGTTCTCAGGAAGCCATGCCAGATCTAATCCAATGGCCAAGAAAAATTTGAGGATGAGTATAGAGGGTCTAATCCAACGTTGTGTGTATGATTTTCTGTACATGTATGTGCATTTGTATTTTACATAATTATGTATTCTGTATGTGTGTTAATATAGATATATATTTATAGAGGTAATAGGTTTATAAACTGTGTATGCCAGAACATAGATAGATGTTGATGTGTGTGAAAGCATGAGCTTAACTGTATAAGGGGTGTATATGTATTATTTATAAGCTGGGTGTGCAAAACTATATATAGATAATGTAAATAGGTATGTAAACCTGTTATCTTAAAAAAAAAATAGTTATGTAAACTTATGATTATTATGAGCTGTATGTATCTGCATCTGGGTATGTACGATTAGGTGCATGAATAATATATATATGTATGCTGTAAATACATACAGTGGGTACATATACGAAAAATTTATATGCATGTGTGACATAGGTTTATATATGCAGTATATATATAATATGAATGCATATGTGCATCTGCAAAATAATAGATACGTGTAACAGATTGTATATGTATATCTAAACGTACACTGTGAATATGTATATATATAAAACTGTGTATGTGCGTCTGCATGTGTGTATATATTTGTGCAAGAATGAGTGTAGAGCTTGCTGCGTGATCTATGTTACCTGAAATGCATGTAATAAATTGCTGAGAGTGTGTTGTAGGTATTGTGTGTGTTGCATGTGTTGTGTGAGTGTACTGTGTGTGTGTTGAGTGTGTTGCTGCGTCTGTTGCATTGTGGGTGTAATGGTGTGTGTTATATGTATAAAAACATTTCATCGCATTTGAATAAATGTATAGAGGTGTGTGAGTGTTTTGTGATATTACATAAGGTATAAATATATGTTAACTTATATGAATATGTATATGTAGGTATATAAAAGTGTAAATATATGTATGTAATGCAACTTTGAATGTTTAATATACTTATATATGTGTGTAGTAATGAATTTGAATTGCAAAAATAATAGGATACATAAAAACCCTTAAAAGACGAAGAAATCTGTTTAGCAAGTATTAGAGAGGAAGGGTATGTGTGTAAATATGGTGTTCATTGTGAACCTTATTGTGGATACGGCCTTAGTCAGACATGACTGCAAAGTCCCATCCCAAATGGGGTTGGAAATTTGTTATTGGCACCGATAGCCCTTCGGGGAATAGGGGTTTGATTGTGCCTATAGCCCTTCAAAGAATAGGGTTTTGATTGTGCCTATAACCCTTCAGAGAATAAGAGTTTGATTGTATCTATAGCCCTGCAGGAATGAGGGTCTGTTATTATTTGAACATTCACATGCAGAGAGAATCTTTATTGTCCTCGATAATAACAGTAAAAACGGCATAGCGCAATAAAACACCAAACAAAGTAAAAAGAAGAATGTTTAAATAACAAAAAATTTTGCATATTAGAAATTGTTTATGATTTTGACAACTGTTATGTAATTGTGTTTGTGTTTCTGAACAGTAATATGTGATTTTGACTTGGATTATTGTAATGTTTGGAAAATTATGTATGAATGTGAAGTTCAATGATGTGAAATCGAAATTCGGATATGGAATATGGAATATGGAATCCGGGATCGGTATCTATAAGAAGGAAAAAGATATTTGGAATGACTAGTGAAAAGGATGGTTGTTATGATCGTTTAGGATTTTCTTCAATAAAATTTGCATTCTGTTTTATCAAACCTGTGTGAATGTTGCTTTGCATATCTCTATTATGGACAGTATTGAGATAGTCGAATTCTCACCCCAAATTTCCTCAGCTGCTTTAGATTAGGGCAGGTTCGAAGCAATTTCAAGATCAAGTAGAAGATTCTGAAGAAGTTTTCCTGTGTTTCTTTTTGTTAAGCTGCAAAAATCGATGTTCATAAGATAGTTTTGTAATTAAAGTCTTATAGGGCTTCATGTATTTGATTTTGAACAAGAGATTTAAAAATTTTAGTTATTATTTTTTACACTGTTGCACAATTGTAAAATTTATACGTGTGGTAGCATCTCTTCTCAATAGAGAAAGCAGGATGTTACAAGGGTAACTTCACAGTATACTGAAAATAGAACCCAACAACGAGAAAACAAGGCTGATAAAATTCATTAGAAATTAGACACTGACCCCAACATTTTCCAATCACTTGGAGTTAATCAGTTGATTATTTCAAAACATCAAAACTTCAATCAAATTTTCTAAAGACAAGCATCTAACATGACATTTAGAAAACCAGTCATCAATGTCTTGAAGAAGCTAAAATCACTTAATCTTCAAATTGAGTTTCATTGGCCAACATGAAAATGTGAAGGTTGATAGGTGCCCACAGTTTTATCAAATTGCCCCCCAACCCCAACCTCCCCCCACCACAAAAAAAAAAAGCAGAGCAATGAAGAATACCATAACAGTAACATATGAAAGGCAGAGAAGAAGAGCCTAAATAATAGTAGTACAAGATAAAACTTGCCTTGACAAAGAAAGGACCCAAGCGGATAAGAGTTTCGCGGAACTGTAGTGGAATATATATATAAAACATTAGAGAGTACACATTGGAAAATAGGTAAACACTAGGAAATATAGTTAGGCAGACAGAAGCAAATAATTTTATGAGCATGAAAAACAATGAGTAAAGAAACCTAAAATTGCAGCCAAAAGAAGTTAAGAGTTTATATTCACAATGGAGAATCAAGTTTTTGCAGAGCTGAGGGAGCTGGATTCTATGAGGATGATTGTATGAAAAAAATAATTACAGTAGCACCACATTAGTTTCAATCAATCAGCAGTTTCTTGGTTTTGATAGTTTACGTATATACTTGAGTAGCATCACCAGTTCTGTTGCGAGAGATATGCAACCAGAGAACAATACCCATATAAGCAGTAAGTGTGAATCCAATAAATTATATTGGACCATAAAATTATATGCAAGCAATTACCTACTACAAGATGAAACTAAAGCATGAAAATGGTACCTTGATTGCTCGCTTTCTTATGTCCTGAAGAAACAATTGCCAGACAGTGAGCTTCAACACGTGGAACGAAATAATTGCCGCTCTATACAATGCCAAAAAGGGACCAAAACGATAGACAACTGATATACTCTTGGAAGTATTAACTCCAAGAGCATGCCCAAATTCATTTTCCAGGGATTCCCTTCTCAATTTTGCGTAGTCTGCAGTAGGCCTTTCGCCATGAACACTGCTGAAACCTGTTGAATATCTGCATCAAAATGGCAATCTAATGAATATAGAGAACTCAAAAGAATAAAAATAAGAAAAATCGCAGGTCCCCATCCTGTGATTTGGTTTTTATTGCAATTCAGTCATTTCAATTTTTTTTCACAATTTATTTTTAGTCATTTTAAATAAAACCATTACTTTCTTAAAACTATTATCTTTTACATTTTTTTTATTATTTTTAAAACTGTGATTTATTTAGTTTTAAAATTGTTCATAGTTATAAGTGCATATATGTGCATATGTACATATGTACTCTAAAAACTAATAATTTTGTATAAAAATGATAAATTAACCAATCTAAAATTTTCACGAAAAAATCACAAGCTTTAAATTGCAATTGGTCAAAGCACGGGTGAAACTATACTTTTTCCCTCCTTAAAAATAAGGAAATGGACACAAGCAAAATGAATCATCTAAAAATGCCAAAAAGGAAGCAACTGTTAAATATTTCATCTGCCCAGCATTCACTTACAAATTTTTCTGCAACGAGGACAAAGGAAACCAAGTATCATTTCTCCTTGCAACCTCGCCAGCCTTTGGGCACCCTGGTGATTTACATTTGCACAAGATAGACTCAATGGGATTGCCATGGCGTAGAGCTGCAAGAAGAATGCGACACTAACTTATAACTGCTCATAGCATCCAGTAGACAGGCATAATAAACTGGGAAAATTTACCAGTCTCAATTCTATTAATTCAACACCATCAAATAACAAATTATTTGAATAACCCTAAATAAATTCCTTGTGAAGTGCTGAAATAACAGTCAGTTCGAATTTAAAGTTATCAGGAATAACATTTATAAAATGTAAATTAAGCACAATGAAGCAAGGGCAAATCAAGTTAAATAAAACAATTAAGTTCTCCTACTTTCAAACCATAATTTGATTATACTACTGAGTTTCAGAAGAAGAGACAGGGAGAGAGAGATGAGAGAAGCTTTTCCATCACGACTAAAGAATCGCTTCCTAAATTTCGGGTCTTTTTAACTGAGATTTTATTTTTCATTAGGACGTTAAAAGAAAGCGTATAGGTACCGGTTGAAACTATTTCGATTCTTTTTTTTTGCTTCTCATGATAATCAAATTGAATAATAAAAAAATCACAAGAAAAATATATGAAATTGGAAGTGATGAAGAACAATACGTATGAAGAGCAGACTTAGATGGCGGTGACGATTGAGAATTACAGAGACATTCCTCATTGGCTAAAAGAAGAACTCATCTATCTGACTGTGTAGGGCAGCTCAATCAACCCCATAGACAGGTCTACAGCTTATGCACAGAAACTGTCTGAAAAAATGCCGGTATGAAAGAGAGGAAGGGAAAGGTGCGCAGAGATTTGAGAAAATTTGCCACGTTTTGAGTAGCAGATGGCGATTGAATAGGCAGTTCAAGCCATGAGCAAATTTATTAATTTACTAAAATATAAATTATGGTGCAACTTATATTTAATACTGCATAATCCGTTTAAAGCTACTTCGATTATATATAATAAATTTTTTAAATTTTAATTGGGCAATATGTAATATATTTTAATTTGATGTATATATATAATATATCTTTTTTATTTAATGTATGTATTACTATTATATTATACAATCAATATTCAATTAGGTCAGAGTAGTTCTAAGTAAAAATTTATATTTAACTAAAAATATTAATTTGTAAAAACTCAGGAGAAGATTCAGATTTTAAAAATTTAAAATCAAATGAAGTTGAGATTTTGTAAAAATCACTATGTATTCCATTTGTAATTATCTCTGTAAATGATATATAAATTTATAAAATTATTATAAAATGTAATTTTTTTAAAAAATAATAAAATTTATTCCGTATTACTTGAATAATATAAAAAAGTATTTTTAAAATACAGTTTTTCTTGATAATTAATTTTTTTTAAAAAAATGAAAAGATACTAACAAAATATTTATTATAACTTCTTTTTTCCTCTGATATATGTTTATTATTATCTTTTTTATCTCAAATAAAATAAATTATTTTTTACATTTTTAAAAAAATTAATAATTAATTATTATGTAACATTACATATAAATTTTAAATGTTAATTTACGGATTTAAATTTAATTAATTAGTTTATATATAAATTCAATCATATGAAAAATAAATAAAATTAAAATTTACTCCTAAATATGCTAAAAATAAAATTAGAAACTAAATTGAACAAAATTAAATTTATTTAGGGGTCTTTTAAATTTAAAAATTGATTTAAGGGCCAAAATAAAAAAAAAAACTCAAAATTTAAGTCATTTTATAATTTTTGAAAAATGAGTCATCTGGGCTAGTGACGTGGCAGTCGCTCAATCAAAGAGAAGCACGTGATGTTTGACCCACACATGTGGTCATCCATGTAGACACCCACGGTAAGCAGATCGGATGGTCCTGGGTGTTTTGGGCAAATCCAACGGTGAGATTGCAGCAGTCAGATCCAATGGTGTGCAGATATATAGAGAAAATGATGGCGATCCAACAGTCTACATGCGAGATGCTGATCGGATGGTCTGCATGCGTTTTGATGTGATCCAACAGTCACACGATTGAACGGTTTAGATCTAAAGGAGAACTGTGATATAACGGTTGAGAGAACAAGATGACAAAATCGTAAAGAACAGGATAACAAAATTACGATTTTGCCATTAATGAAGGCCCATCCATCGGATCGTATGCAGCCACATGGATGATGTTTATGCTGTAACGCCCAAACAATTGGGCATTTTCGTAATTTTCTTATTAAGTATATTTATTAAGTTTAATTAAAAAAAAAAGGCCCACGTCAGCAGCCACGTCAGCAGACCCAGTCAGCAGTCCTGACCAACCAGGACCTGCCATGTGGCAAGACCACGTCGACCCGGGGACGGGCTACGTTGGCAATCCGCGTACGCGCGATTGGACGGTCCAGATCAAGCGTGCGCACGGACGGCCCAGATGCAATCGCACGGACGGCCCAGATTCAATCAAAAATGGACGGCCCAGATTAAATCAAATGGGACGGCTGAGATCAAAAGGCAAAAGGGTATAAATAGAACCCCCACACCTGACCACAAAAACCCTAGCCGCCTGCCCTCGCCGGAGAAGACGAACCAGACGCCGGAGGAGCCGGCCGCCGCCACCCGCCGCCGCACCAGGGAGATTTCTGACTGTCGATCGAGGTAAATTTGATACCCCCGACTCGTTTTTCCACGCTGATTTCTCCTATGGCCAAATCGGAGCCAAAATCCCGGCCAAACGGTCGAAAAACACAGCCGAAACCCAGCGGCGCCGCGGCGCCCCTCCTCGGTTTTTGCCTCCGATGAGGCCCTTCCCGGCCTCCGTTTGATGCAATTTTTATATCACCGTGATCACCATTCTTTTCTCTACAGGTTGATCAGAGCCGAATTACCAAAACACGAACCTCACCGGAGAGCCGCTGCACCCGAGAGCACCGCCGCCGGTAAGCTTCGGTTTTCCGCAATTTTTTGGCCCCCCGAGGGCCCTAGGGTTATTTTATTGCAGGGACCGATGCAAGTGTGGCCGAATTCGGCCGAAAACGGCCGAAAACGGCCAACCCGAGGTGAATTGCCGCCGCCGTGCCGGAATTGCGATATTTGCCAAAAAGGGGCCCTGGGCCTAATTTGGGATTTTTTGGAACACGTGCAGGTACCAGTAGTGCGTTTCAGTTCCCCGGAAAAAATTCAGGGAAAATTAGGGACAGCCTGTAGGCGCACTGTGAAGCTGTGTTCGGACCCCGAAACGAGTAAGGACCCCTCACCCTATTTTCTATCACGGTATTAAATTTCAATAATGATAAAACGGTATTTCTTAAATCAACGAATGTGTGAAATTGCTTAAGGTCGCTAATGGAGCCCGAGTCTAGTGTGTTTGTCGGTTAACTGTTATTTGGCCTATTTTACAGTTTTAAATGCAGTATGAGGTTTGATATTTTCATTTCATAGTTTCGTGTGCATATTTTACTGTTTTATTGATTATGGGTTGAATGACTGAGAAACCGATGCTGTATGTTGTCTTGTTTGGCATAAATTACTGTTTTGCTTATTTGTACGTGAATTGATGATGCTGACTGAGGAAAAGGAGAATGAAAGATTATGTAGATTGATAATTGTATAATGTGGTCAGCCTGACTAGATATCCTATGAGATGGTGGACGGACCGGGTCCGTAGGGAACCCTACCGGGATTGTGGTCTCTCATACCGGACGGGGTATGGAGACCTTATGTGTTTTAGTGCCCATACCGGACGGGGTATGGGGACGGCCCGTTTTATCCTCATATCGGACAGGGTATTGAGGTTTATAGTTTTAGCGCCCATACCGGACGGGGTATGGGGACGGCCCTGGAATCTGATTACAAGTATTAAGAGTTAACGGGTAGCGGGACCCCTATGGATCCCCATGGATACTAGTAGGCTGGTAAATGAGGAAAAATATGTTGTGTAATGATTGAATTACAAAAGGCGTGATAAGTATTATGTTATACAGTTTATATGATTTCATGATGATGATAATGTTATTGCTTTCGTATATTGTTTTATGAATTTCACCGAGGTAAGTGGATGGTAAAGGTTTTATTATTAATAAAAGGATTTGTTGTAAATCATGCTCCATTGGTCTTTTTGTGTTTTCTACCCACCTTTACCTCCGTGACGGTGAGATATCGTGATGTCTTTACTGGGCTAGTGTAGCTCATTCCTTATTTAATCATTTCAGATCAGGAAGACATTGTTCCCGAGCCCGTTCCGCAGGAAGACGACGAAGGGGACGCCTAAAGACTCCATAGTCATATTCATAGCTTTTACTTTCGAATTTCTCTTTTAGTTAGTTTGATCTTTTATATTTTGAGCACGTTTTTGGTTTTAGTGTAAGGGATGCTAATCGAAATTTTGACTTCGCTTCCGCATTTGACATTTTGAATACACATATTTCATTTTAAATTTCCGGGGCCGTTACATATGCGGTCCAGATTTGTTGAGTGTTAGGTTTAAAAACCCATATAGGCCACTCAACCCAGCCCGATATGGAAAGAAAGAGAAAAAAACAAATAAAAGAAGAAAAGAAGAAGAAAGGAAGAAGAAGAGAAAAGGGGCTAAAGTTCATCACTCCCGGCGGACGAAAGGAGAAAAAAGGGGAAAGAGAGGCAGAGATCATAGATGAAGGGCCTATCGATAAGGGAAGGGTATTTCGCAGCTAACCAATGCCCAAAATTGCAAAAACCTATTGGATTTTCCAGGGACCTGTGACCCCAACGTGTGATCAAACTGACACTCTAGTGAACAATTTTTTAGAGCTTCGTTTATTATTTTAATTAAACAAAATGCTCTAGAGATAGTCTGCATGTAATCGAACATGTTTAAAGTTCAAATTAAATCAAAGTCAAGCCATGCATGCACGAAAACTCGTATGCAAATTGCAGGTTTATAATTGACCCGAGAATGAACTTTTCCTTGCAGATTTTTTTTCAACTTTTGGGGACATTTTTGGAACTCAAATCACTTCCTAACAACTTTCAAATTATAACTATAATTAATAGGTAACTCAGAAACCTACATAGGATAAATTTATATTGAATTTCGTTTACCAGATAAGAAGCTACAAGTTTATAAAGAGGAGTTGGTGAATTAGGTTTAAAACTCATATCAGAACCTATCAAAACAGTTTAAACTGTCAGGAAAGGTCCCCAAACCATCTGTTTAGACATTTTGATGTTTTTTATCATATTTTTAAATTCTCATTTGCTTAATTGAATTAATTGAATGCATGTATGATGTTTATATAGTGTATATATGTATAAATTTTCGAAAGAAAAAGTTTGAAAAAAAATGAAAAATGGGTTGTTAAAACTAAGAAATTAAGTAGATGAAAAAAAGGAAGGAAATAAATTAGAAATAAAGGAAAATTATATTTCAGTTACTAAATGAGAAAATAAGTAAGTTAGAAATAAAAAGAATTAAAATAAAGATAAGATTTCAAAATATAAAAAATATTAATCATACATAATAAGAATTGAAAAACATATATCTAAAATAAAAAGAATATATAAATAATAAATTAAATAATGATAATAATAATAATAATAATATAAGTAATAATAATAAAATAAAATAACAATAATAATAATAATCGTAAATACTAGCAAATACATATATATAATATATTAACAAATCACAAAAAATTACATAAAGTAAACGAATGTTAACAAAAAAATAAACTCAAATAATTAAATAAAAATTCTAAATTAAATTAAGAGGGAATTAGTTAGAAAATGGAAGAGAATAGTGATAAGTGAAACTTTAATTGTGAAATAAAATAAAATAAAATAAAATATCAATTTTAACTAGAATATGAAGAAAAGAAAATAATAAAACATTGAAAGAAACAAAAATTTAGAGATAACTCGTTTAAGATTGGTGTGTTTGAAATTCAGCGGTATGGTGAACCATATCAGAGGTGGTTGGGATGCATGTTATATTCTGAGTCACCTCGCGACGAATTGTTGTGACTAATGTACATGTGTTGTTTGTATGTGCATCCCATTATAATAGTAGAAATCCTGATCCCATAATAGTATCAATTTGATAACATATACATCTGTTCAATATCAAATAAAATTCTAAAACTTTAATAACTTTAATATGGTGATTGTGTTGCAGCAAATCGAGTATTGGAGATACTCATTGAGGAGTTACAGATGTCTCGATTTGATCGAAAACTTATGAGAAATTCTAGCAGTGATTCTGAAGGATAAAAGATGGCTTGAGGGAAAACTATGTAATAAAATGGATTTAGAGGAATTTTGAGAAAAAAAATATTCCGAGAGAATTTGGAAGAATAATATCTAAACTTAAGGGGATTTTGAGAGATAAAAGAAATTTATGGGGAATAATAAGAGATGAGATAAGAAATGAAATACCTTTACATTTCATAGTTTTCAAATAAAAAGAGAAAGAAACGTTTTACATCTTTGATTGATTTTTTAACTATATGTCGCATGTTTAGAGTGTAGTATATTTCTTATACTTATTGAGCACGTTGAAATTGCTCATCTCATTAAATTATTATCTTTTCATATCAAGAGGATCCAACTGTGGATAAGGAGGATCTCACCCCTGAACTAGATTAAGAAGAAACTGTATGAGCACCCTGAACTAGATTAAAAAGAAATTGTATGAGTACCCATTACGGAAATTATATTTTGTAACTGAATGAGTATCTATTTTTATTTTAATTCTATAATACGAACTTTATATATTGTAAACAATGTTACAATGTGGTCAAACGATAGATGATGAATATTTTAAATCTATAAATATTTTATTAATTATATTTTTATTGTATATTTAGTGTTTGATGACTGTAATCACTTTAAGCGAGAGTAGGAACATCAAATATTATAATTTATAAATTTTTTTAGAAAATAGAATATATATAAAATAAAAATTATAACTGAAATAATTTAATGAATGTAAAGGAAAAATTTGTAAGAAAAAAATTTCTAGAATCTAAGATTATAAAAATTTAGGGACTAAAACAATATTGTATTTTTTTCTAATGTACTAAAAAATGCTATAAATTTTTTAAGAGAATTTAGGTTAAGGTCTTCCCATAAGAAGGTACTGTTTGGTTACTGGTACCTTTTGAATCGTGGAAGGGCTGCGGCAATATCCGTCGCCAAACGCTCCCCTTCCGCACCAGAGTCGGATCATTGGTTGACCCGAACCGATTCATAGCAGCAATCTGCAATCCCGGCCTTCACGGTCATTGCTTCGGTCCCAAGTCGCAAGTGTTTCAAACCCAAAGTTTCTTTAGGGCTCTTACAGACAGTTTGCGTCATTACATTTATGTAAAATGGCGATCGAGCCACCATCTCCTCTCCGGCCATGGTTCCTCGATTTAGTACCACTCTTTGTGGTTCTCCTTATAGCAGCTCATGTACTTGCTTTGGTGAGATCTTGAAGTCTTGTCTGGTCATTAAGCCTTTTACATTCCATTTCTTTTCGCTGTATATATAATCTCTTTTTTACGGGTCGTAGGTTTACTGGATTTACAGACTAGCGACTGATAAGCAACCCCAGAGAAGAAAGGCACACTAAAATACAGTATAATAGGTTCGGTCGTACGCTTTATCTCTCTTTCTTTAGGATAAACTTGGTTCTTAGGATTGTAGATGAATTGCTTATTCGGTATATTTATGCTTTAAGCTTTTTGTAATATAGTTGGAATAAATGTGAAATACGCAGTTCAACCTGAAGTGAATAATTATGTAGACCAATTACGTTTTGAGTGTTGTTCTCGTCATGTTTTACCCATTTCTCAATTTATGGCATATTTGGTTGATTGTGGTTGTAGTGTTTAATCACTTCATAGAAAGAACAGTTCTCTTTTATGTTCTTCGGGCTGTTGTAGTTTGTTATTGTCATCAAGTGGAGATTATGCCGGTTTTCGTAGAAGTTACTCCTCAGACAAAAATCAGTTTATATTTACATTTTCTAGATCAAAATTTTGTATGTGAAATGATTTTAAAGGTGGGTGCAATTTCTTCTCAGGGTATAATGAAGTAAAATTCCTAAATGAAAAGATTCGTCAACATCCAGTGGTTTCAGCAGTAGAAAAATGTCTAGAAGACAAGTCTACGGATGACTCAATAAATGTCAGACACATTGTTACTGCCTTCCAATGTTTTCATTTTGAGTGCTTGTCAGTAACCTAATGTCCTAGGATCAGCTTATTATATTATAGAATAAGGTTTTATCATGTAATTCATAATCTGATGCTATGCTTTAGAACATTGATTATGACCTTTACATTTTTGCTGATGTAGTGATGCAGAAAAGGAACAAGCTGAAACAGAATGATTTTAATAGTAGGAATATTTATATAATAATTATGCATTTTTTATCAATATTTTATGTTGTCCATATTATTTATGATGTTTTAGAAATATTTGCTAGACTTTTGGAGATTTATTATTAATTATGATTGAGATGCTTTTAGTTTTTTGAACCAAGCAAATGAGTTGTGCAATGGAAGAGTAGGGATTTCAAGTGATAGTACCAATTGAGTTGGATGAATTTAGGTTCAGTGGCTAGTGATGTTGGAAAGGACAAAATAGCTAGTGATGGAAACTAGAAGCGTGTGGGAGTAAGGAGGAGGAAAATATAAGATCAAGAAGCACGAACAAGCAGTTTAGAGAGATAAAACACAGAAATAGAATGGATGACAGGAATATGATAGATAAGAGAAGATTGAACACTAGGATAAAAGCACTGAACAAGGGGAAGCAAAAAACCCTACAAAAACTTTACTAAATGAAGGTACTTCAAATTAAATCGTTCTTCTATTCCCTTGGTTAAGTCCTTTTACATTCGCAATAATTACAATTTAATACAAACTTTGAACCTGACATTTCAGCAAAAAAAAAAAACAAAAGAAGAAATATTGAAATAACCATAGTAACAAATTCAATATTTTCTTACTTCTAATAAAAAAAATAAAAAATATTGATCACATTTTCCTAAATGCATAAATAACAGATAAAATTACTAAAGTTACATTTATGGAAAATTTTCTTAGTATTCAAAAACTTATTTTTAACTTACATTTAGCATCAATTTAGAGTGAGTATATTGGTATTTTAGGGGTGGAACAAACTGAGTTGAGCCTAATATTTGAGTACTTGAACTTGGTCTAATCAAATATAATAGAGCTTGAGTTTGACTTGTGGTTCAATTTGAGTAGGCTTTGACAATCGGGCAATTTCTTGGTTTGATATTCACTGGGATCGACATTTGGATCACAAGTGTAGTTTAGAGTTCAAAGGTATATTGATTCAAGAGAATTTCTGCTTTCTTATCATACTTTATAATCAAATAATAGATACTATATTGGACATGATAAGCGAAGTTGTTAAATTAATAAGAAAAATAGTAACCTAAATCTTGAAACAAACAATTCAAACCAAAAAACCATGAGTTGCAAGTAAAAAGAAAACATAAGACATCACCTTCTCTTCCCTTTATTTGTTGTCACTTCCTAGTCCTTAACTTTTGGAATGTCAACATAATCCCCGGCCAAAGAAATCCATCTCACGTCTTCCAATCGAATGATGGAATCCTCTACGTTTATATCGTCTGCATCAATATCCCATTTCCTATAACGCCCAACCTTATAACTTTTTGAGAAGCATGATTGAAAATGGATATTTGAGTGGATAAAAAACTAACTTGTCAAACCTTGTATCTATTTCTTTTTACATTATGGATGTTGGAATATGTCCTCCATTTCCTATCAGCTAAAGAACTACGTAATGGTTGAGATCAACATTTTTTTCACCTCAGCCAATTATGGAGTTTGTGACCCATATGTTGCCCACCAATTTATAAGCTCCATACATGATGTTGGGCAGCTGCAAGTCCGCAAATCACTATTTTCTTGTGAAGATCTGCAAATTACTTACGCAATTATTTCTCCTCTTCCTTATTTTCAGCTATTTCTGCAAAAGCCTCTAGGACACTTGTAATAACCACCATGTCAAAGTTTGGAGCTCTTCTAGCATATCCACTTGTCTATAACATAACAAGGATCATAAAATTACGGGTTAAGTGTAAAGACAATACATAGATATATTCATCTTTTTCCATATGTCTAGGACAGTCTTCTCCTTCTGTGAATACTCATCTGCATATTTGTTGTTCCTGATAATGTCTCTAATTTTTTCAAGCATGCAGTCCATTCTTTCATAAATCATCCCATCTCTTCTCCATCTCCATGAACAAATCTAATCAATGGGTAAATGAGCTCTGTGATAGAGATAGTCTTCTCCAAATCATCCCAGAATTGTTCACTGCATATAGTTTTAGAAGCTAAACGACCAATCTTCTCCCTTTTTTTTTAATCTATTCTCTCGATTTGCAAATAGCAAGTGGCAAAAGCTTCTCTAAAATCAATAACCTTTCAATTAAATATGGTTTGATGCAAACTTGGTCTTTGCTATTTTTAGCAACTCTAGCCTTGATTGAGATCTGAAAATTGCTGGATCTTGTGAATTGTTGTTAATGTATTTGACAATGGTTTCCCCTTTCTCTAAGTGTTTTTCAACTATTCCAGTCCAGAAACTGAATGTCTAAAGACCAAGTTAAGAGAATGAACAACCCAAGAAGACCAATGTGTTTTGTGCACCTTTTCACTGTTTAGCTGCTGTTTACAGTTGTTAGCATTATCGCTCACAAGTTGAAGGACACTTGATGGTCAACCTCTTCAATCGCTTTAAGCAAATATTCTGCTAGCATGTCTGCTTTTCTCAATTCCAGAAAAATCTTTAGCATACATGATTTTTCCCAGGTGCCTACTGGCACCATGTACTATGAGCCTAATTGTGCGGTTCAAATAATGCAGTAATGACATACATAGATATTAGTTTCTGAATTTCTTTTATGACCTGATTCTGATGGAACTATTGATGTACTTCATTGTATTCCATGCATGAGCTATTTCCCTGTTATCTCTTCTCCCCCTTCCGCCATCCCCATCTGAACACCCAAAAAATGTTTGTACTATTGTTAAAATTTTAGCTTGCTGATATCTCACCTCATAAACTCCTAATTTTAAATAACTTTGGAGTCCAAATTCCTTGAAAGATTGGCCTATTTTTAGGAACGGTTCAGTGTAATATTTTTATGTTATCTAAAATTGTCAAGATGATTAGTAACATCATTATTTCATTAGCTGTTAGTTTACAGTTTATAAGAAGTTTCTGGAAACTGTTTCCTTCCTGTTTAACTATAAATTCCTGAAAATGAAAGCAACCGTATTTTTATTTAACCAAATTTGTTTCCTTCTCTGTTTTTATGTTTAGATAAGGTGTAAGATGAGTGTATTATTCTTCAAAGAAAAGTTATAAGGTGACTGTATTAGCTTAAATTTTGCAAATGAAACTTGGGCCTCGTTTAGGGGGCTGCAAGAAGTTATATGAAAGTACATATATGATCTGGAACTTTCTTCAATATATATATTATATATGTATGTATATATATAAATCATATGTATATATGGTGTGGAAATGTGGGATTTTCATTCCATATTTATTATGTATTATAGACCAAATAAATGCATATGCATGCATGTTGCTGTCTCTCTGTTGCTTTTAAATTCAAATCATTACCTGATACAACATTTTTAGATTTTAATTGTTTCCAGTGTATGTGGTTTGTTGGATTTGGATTGGAACACTAATATGAATTCAATTAGTTGAATCTTGTGTTATTGTCCGTTCGTTGCAATATAACAGATTTGAGATGATATATTTGTTCATGCCTGTAAGTTTGCACTGACGCTCAGCAGACAACTTTTATTTTGAAGAACCAGCAGACTCGATGATCGAGAGGGTGTTTGGCTCTGTTTTTTTTTTCTTTTTGTCAAAGGGAGCTTATAGGGATGCAACAGCATATTTTACGCTTATGGGTGTTAGTTATCTAAGGACATACAGGATTGTTATACTAAACTAACATTAACCAAGTGAACGAGAGATTTAATTCTCAAACAGGAATATTTTAAGTTTCAAAATATGAGTGCATTTGTTTCAAATAGTCTTAGAACATATTTGTCAAAGAAGCTTATAAAACTTAGGTACTATCTTTTTCAGCGGAACTCATGTATATCTTTGCTATTTACTACTGTTACTAGTGTGTTTTACTGCAGGTTGACTTGTGATAATTCTAGTTAGAATAAAGATATTTTACTTATTTGATTGAGTAGAGCAAGGAAGTTAGTTCTGTTTTTTGGATCTAAAACTGAAAGCAAAGAAGCAATATAGAGAAATTAAAACACACAAGACAAGATTAGTGAGGAGTTTTTATACTCAGCTTGTCTAATTTAAAGCTTTTTTCTTCAGTGGGTTAAGTAGCATGGAAATTGTTTGGCTACCTCTTGAACTTTAAGACAGTGACTTTCTAGTCCGATAAAAGGTGGGTTTATTCATACTGGAATTAGAAGATTTGCAAAGAAAACAAGAAGAAATTCTTAGATTTAATAGGAAAAACTTAAATTGTGTACTTGATTTGCAAGTTAAGCTTGTTTACTAGCTGACTGATCTCTTCCTTAGATGGGGAATGAAAAGGCAATTTAAGCGGTTGGTTTACGGCCATTAAACAGGGGATGAAAGGGCAGTAGTTAAGCCAGCTTTAGGAATTGAGGGGAATGTGGATTGCATTGGCAGTTGGGGTGGACTTAGTCCTTGGGTGTGAGGTAAGTAAAGCAAAGCCAGAAACGTGAGTCTTGAAGCATGTCCGGGTGGACTCCATGGAGGTTGCGGAGCACATGGGCTAAAGTTAAACTGCCCGGGTGGACTCCATCCTGGTGTTAAAACAACGATTAGACGTCAAATGGTTGGGTCAATGATTGAGTTGAATTGACACTTGTTCAACTCGCGTGTGTGGGTACATGTATTTTTTCCTTGTTGAAACTTAAAGTTGATACTTTATTATGTTGTTTGCATTTGCAGACAATAGCGGGCATGTTGATTTGGAAGTCTAATGAGGACAAAAATGATATTTTTGTCTTAGATCTGCACTCCTTTTTTGTACTGGGTGGTGAGTGATTCGGGATGGGCTGGACAAGTTTCGTGTTAACTCGTGTTTTCTGAGAAGTTATTTCGAAATTACTGTTTTCATAAAATAAATTTTAATAAAAAGAAAAGCCGTTATTCGTTGGTAGGGTTGAGGTCTCCTCCGAGTGACAGCCCCCACGTGTTGGGCCGGTCCAGTGACTTCTCTTTTAAGTCATTGTAGGAATGTATTTATTAGCTTTCGGCTTATTATTCCACGTGTCACTATCTTGACCGTGGATGATGATGAAGTCAACACGAACATCGAATCAACTTTCCATCCCATTCATGTCTTGTACGTGTCTCTGTTTTTTAGTTTGTGGTGCAAGCTTCTTCTTCTGTATGTAGTTTTAACTCTCACATCTCTTTCTATTTATTAGCAATGATTACCGATTATATTTGGTTTGTGCCAACCACCTCTTTAAGTGAAATTAATAATTAAAAAGAAAATGATATTCTCGCCCAACTCATACCAGTTGGGTTGGCCGGCCCACATACAACTCACATATATCATGATTCTCATTATAATTAATATTCATATTTACCATTGTGTTGATTCACTGAACTCAGCCGCCAGATTACCCCAAAGAAACAGAATCCACGTCATCCATTGACTTTCCTTACTATTACCGTAATTAGTGTATGTGAATAAAGTAAATCCTATTTATTTTCATCGAGTAACACATGGTGAAATGGAAAAACTATAGAATATAAAAGATCTGACCGAATGGACTCTTTTTATTTAATGTTTGATTAACAATAAAATATATAGTGTAAATTACTAAGGTGTCTTTAATGTTACCTTACATTTTAATTTTTTCTAGACTGAATAAAATAATAATATGTTAGATTATTATTATATTAATATTATTTCTAATAATTTTAAATTTCCTTAAACAAAATAGTATATGAATTTCTGTAAATTCATTCAGACTAAATATATAAAAAAAAAAAAAAGTTTAATTAATATGTACTCATACTGTCTTATATTTTATAATTTTTTTCTTATAAAAAAACTTTAGATAAATATAGAAAGGTGAAAAAATCTCTTAATAATTAAAAAGAATCCTACACAAGAAAAATCAAAGAATTAATTATTTCTTAAAATCACTTTTTGATTCTGTTGCAGAGTAAATATTTTTGTCACTATTTTGATAGAGGGCGGTGAGTTTGAATTTTGGAAAATAAGGAGACGTGGCTGGGTGGGTGAATTGAATGCTGGTCTGTCCTTGAAAGGATTGGGACAATCTTGTAGTTTCGTGGAACTCAAAGGACACGGGGCACCAATTTTTGTACTAACCGGGCACTCCTTCGTCTGTTGCTTTACTCTTCACTCGATACGGGAGACTCGTATAAGATAACAAACTATCGTCTGAAAACACTGATTAAGATTTCAGAGTGCGTGTGCGTGCGTGTCTCTTGTATAGAGAGAGAGAGAGGAGAGAGGATCTTTGATTCTCGCCATGTGCCCAACGAAACACAAATACCGGACCTCCGCCGATGAACCCGTCACTAAATGCTCCAGATCCGCCTCCCCCTCCACGCTACCTGATTGGCTTTCCCAGGCCGTCCACGGTGGTTCTTTGCGCCACGTCGATCTACACACCGGAATCAATGGCTGGGCTTCTCCTCCTGGAGAACTCTTTCATCTCCGCTCCACCAACTACTTTACCAAAAGACAAAAATCCCCCTCCGGCGACTACTTACTCTCCCCCGCTGGCATGGACTGGCTTAAGTCCACCACCAAGCTCGACAACGTACTAGCTCGTCCAGATAATCGTGTAGCCAATGCGCTCAAGGAGGCGCAGTCTCAAGGCAAGTCCCTCAAGAGCTTCATCATCGCCGTTAATCTCCAAGTCCCCGGTAAAGACCAGCACAGCGCGGTATTCTATTTCGCCACGGAAGATCCTATTCCCTCCTGTTCTCTCCTCTACCGGTTCATCAACGGAGACGACTCGTTCAGGAACCAGCGGTTCAAGATCGTCAACCGGATCGTCAAGGGACCATGGATCGTGAAAAAGACGGTCGGAAACTACAGCGCCTGCCTTCTAGGTAAGGCCTTGACATGTAATTATCACAGAGGATCCAATTACTTGGAGATTGACGTTGATATAGGGAGCTCCGCCATCGCCAGCGCAATTCTGCATCTGGCATTGGGATACGTGACGAGCGTGACCATAGACATGGGGTTCCTGGTGGAGTCGCAGACAGAGGAGGAACTACCGGAGAGATTGATTGGTGCCGTTAGGGTTTGCCAGATGGAGATGTCGTCGGCGACGGTGGTGGAGGCGCGGCCGGCGGTGGGTCGTGGTATGGGATTATCTAGGGTTAATCACGACGACGAGGAGGAAATCAAGGAGGGTAAAAATCGTTAACAGGAAAGTTGGATTTGATTTTAATTACATTGCATTTTTAAGCTGTTTTTTTCTCTTGTGAATTATGAAACGCCCTCTTTTTAGGGGTATGGATGGCTGTAGATAATAATTGGATAACAAAATAACAATATTGGGATTTTCCAGTCTCCAGAACTCTGAATATTTTATTTATTTACTGATTGAATTCTTTTTGGCATTTATTATGAACTGATGAAAATTGTAAGGCTGGGTAGTACAGTGAGTTATAGGTGGATTGACTGTAGACTTTGGTAGTGGGTTCAGTTGTTTTAGTGTATTTTTTAATGGGTTTGGCAAAGAAAGGATGATTTACAGTTCTTTTAGAGTTAAAATGTTTAGCTGAAGACTGAAGTTGTTCGCGTAAACAAATACAAATTGGTCATATCTCCAAAATTTTTACTCACCGCATTGATGTCTGTTTCAATTATAATGTTAATTTCTCTTACCATTTTACCTTCACCTTGTAGCCTTCTGCTTCAGCATCTTCTATCTGTTGCATATCTCTTCAGGTCCACTAAATTAATTCTCATTTTTTTAGAGCCCATAAAATGATTTGTTTTCAATATTTGGACCTAATAGTTTTGGTAGTATATGGACGTCGTGATGTCTAGCATAATTGATTCAAATAATTAATGCTTTTATATAAAATAACAAATGCCAAAACATAGAGAATGTATTGCTATGAAACACAACAAAAACCAGCAATTGGGTTACAACAGCCAAAGATATTATTTGTTGTGTAATTTGTTTTATAATTTTCTGATAAAAGGATGAAAACCAAATTAAACTTGAACATTAATTTTTCATTCACTTTTTTAGATTTTAATTGTTCAATATATAAAATTTACCCTTCATTACAATTATATTTTAACTTATTAAAAAAATAAAGAAGAGAAATAATTGATTTTAATTATATATCTTAAATTATGAGTACCATTCTTATTCAATTTTTTGTTCTATGAATCTAAACTTGATCTATATATCTTAAATGTTTTAGATTTAATACTACTTAATTGAAATTTAAGTGGTAAACAAGTTAAGAGTATCATTCTTACACTTGTTCTATGATCATAAAATTTTTAATTTGACAACCATTTGAGCTATAATATGTTAATTAGCAGTTTTTTTTTGTGTGGTTAAAATGTCTGTTAAACATTAAACATTTAAGAGTTATTTATGGAAAAATATCAACAAAAAAGGGAACAAAATCTTTAAACATTTAATTTTAATATTTTATTGTTTCAAAATAAATCGATGCCTTTTCTAAATTATTTTGTTGAAAGAAGATGATGATAATAAAATGTAAAACAACCAAAAAAAAAAAAAACAACACGAATTGATCAAGATCCAAGGTAGAAGAGGATGGAAATTTGAGAGAATGAAACCTTAATCGGTCATCTTTATGTTCTCTCTTGACACTTCTTATTTGGAAACTAGAAAAAAAAAATACATATATATATGTAGTGAGAAAGAGGGACAAAAACAAGCGTACCGATGCCTCACGCACACAAAAACATATCCATCATCTAACCCTAATCATAGATGACACTATTTACATAAATACATACATATATATATATACACACATTATATACATGAATACACGTGGGTCTCTTCTCGGGTACCATCACCCACTGCTGGCATTCCGGAGCTCCAGGGGCTAACTTCTTTTAACACCCTCCCCTGCAAGATAGAGAGTAAATGTTTCTCACGCCTATCCTGAATATGTGTAAATGTCGCAGTGACACTAGGAAGCCTTTAGTCAAAGCATCAACAATTTGTTGGTTATGTTTTCAAATCCTTCCACGAGTCAAATGACAATACAATTTTATATGTTTCGCGCTTCCATAATAGACTGAAATGGGTGCAATTTGTAATATAGCTTTATTGTCACAGTATAGAATTTATAATATGTAGGTGGTTAATCTCAAATATGATAACAGACATCTTTTCCACATCACTTTACAGCTCGTTACTACCATCACTCGGTACTCTGCCTATGCAGATGATCATACCACCATCAGTTGCTTTTTTGATATCTAGGAAATTAGTGACTCACCAAGGAAGATGTAATAATATGTGACCAATCTATGTATATTAGGGGATGTATCACAATCACTACCACAATATGCCTTGATTTGTAACTCTAAAAAGGATGAGTAAAATAGTTCCTATCGAGTTGTTCCTTTGACATACCTGAGTATCTTATAGACAACATTTTAGGTACTGAGCACGAGATTTGTGTAATTGGAGTAAAAATGACAAATTTAGTCTTGCTAGAGTTAGATACATTAGTATGCCTACAAGCCTTATTTACATGACAGTCTTAGGAATCAATTCACTAGCCTTTTTTTATTAGTTTCACATTTTGGTTAGGTGATAGCATTTAAGGTTTTGCACCCACTACACCCATTTCAATTAAGGGATATAGAGCTTATTTTCTTTGGTATATATGAATAACATTCTTGGATCATGTAACTTTTATATCCAAGAAATATTTGAGGTTTCCTCGGTATTTGGTCTTGAACTTTTCAAAGCTTCTATTGATTTCAAGTTATTCTTCACTAAGATTATATCATCCATATAAACTAACACAGTAGCGAAATACTCTATGTCATTTCTCACAAATAGGCTGTAGTTAGCCTTTGATTGTTTAAAGCCATGTTGGAGAATGAACATTGATTATTTTGTATACCATTGACGTGGAGCCTACTTCAACTCATGTATGCTTTTCATCAATCTACATACTTTTAACCTTCCTCTGTTGGCTAGTTAGGTGACAATTCAACATACAATTCTTCATCTAATTCTCCTCGTAGAAATTCAATGTTATAATCAAATTGTCGAATATGTCATCCCTTAATAACTATTGATGAAAGCTTTAATCTCATAATGGTTATGACATCGCTGGTGCCAATTAAGGCAATTGGGTGCTAAATACATATTCAGAATAACGAGTGCATGATAATATTTATGCAG